ATGTACACTTGATTATTTTGATGTGCAGGAAGTGTTTAGATAGCAGAATGTCACATCTCTTAACTGTTTAACTTAACTGTCAAATGAAGCATCAGAACTGCTGAGTAACTTTAGGTTTCTTAAAACGTGTGATTATTCAAGTAGTCAATGAAACAGTATATGCCATGCCTTAGAGCATTTAGCAATTTAATTTCACATTTTGCAAAACTTACTTTAGTTGCAATTTAATTTCACATTTTGCTTTTGCATTTTAATGTAATTTTCAAACATTTACTTTCATTCGACTCAAACAGAAAAAAATCTGTCATGTTTTCTGTAGTTTATTAACAGCTTGAAATGGGTAAATCTTTGTTTTTATACTCCGAACTGTTTGCTTTCGTTAAAGTTTATTTGAACTCTCAAATGAAGCATCAGACACACTGCCGTTGTAACTTTAGGTTGCTTAAAATGTGATTAACCTGATGTTTTTCTCAAAGCACAAACTGCCATGTTTATATGTTTATTCTATATCCTTATTTACATTTTTTCTTATGCAATAGTTTTATGGTTTAAAGTTCGATTTAATCATTGTAATGACGTCTTTTCTCAGTGTTTATCTGTGTGTTAATAGTTCTCATGAGTCTTATCGTAATGAGTTTTGCACCTTTGATATCTACACATCTGTATATTTTAGTTTTACTACAGAACTTGCTACTGAAAGCTACTAATAAACCACGGAAATGTCACATGATCTCGTTTTATCAGTGAAAATACAGTTTATTGGGGTTGTGAGGTTAATCCATGTCAAACACGAACTCATATTTGAGACTGAGCACATTATGTGTTATGAAACCTCTCAGAATAAACACTTAAACATGTCTTTCTATGCATGAAAAAGCCATCAAAATATGAAATTAAAATAAATACTGTCGGTTTTCCACTTGTAGTGGGTTTCACGTTTCTGTGGGCAATAATATGCTTGTTATTTACCATCATAAGCATGTCGGATTAAGATATAATGTCAGAGACACACAAGGCTAATTATTTTTCAAGCAACATGAATCTGCAGGCATCATTTACTCACTAATGTCATTACAGACCTGTACTTTACACAAAAGTAGATGTTCACCCTGCTCTTTTCCATATAATGAAAGTGAATGGTGATTTAAATAGGTTTAGAGCTCCAAAAAGCACAATAAACTGTTTTAGAACAAAATGTAAGATTTATGTATTATATAAAATGTCCATGCATTTGGATTACACAAATTTAATATAAACTAATAATCTTTACAGGCCAGTTTTCTGCGCTCAAAAAATCATGGCATGGTTTTTGTTATTACCTATTCTATATATATATACAATTTGGGGGGGGGGCAATAGGGATTTCGCCTAGGGCATCAAATTGGCTAGAAACGGCCCTGCCTCCATGCCACGCCGAATTGAGGCAGTAATTAAAGCAAAAGGAGCCCCTACCAAGTATTGAGTACATGTACAGTAAATGAACATACTTTCCAGAAGGCCAACAATTCACTAAAAATGTTTTTTTATTGGTCTTATGAAGTATTCTAATTTGTTGAGAGTGAATTGGTGGGTTTTCGTTAAATGTGAGCCAAAATCATCACAATTAAAAGAACCAAAGACTTAAACTACTTCAGTCTGTGTGCATTGAATTTATTTAATACACGAGTTTCACAATTTGAGTTGAATTACGGAAATTTTCCACGACATTCTAATTTATTGAGATGCACCTGTATATGGACACAGGCAAAATTTGTATTATTTTAGCTGCTGACCAAAACATATTCAAGTTACAGTTATTACAGTTATACAGGGCTTAAAGTGCACACTCTGAGCTTTAATTTGAGGGTATTCTCATCAAAATTGGAGGAAAGGTTAAGGAATTACAGCTCTTTAATATGAACCTCCCCCTTTTTCAAGGGACCATAAGTAATTGAACAGTCGACTCAAAAGCTGTTTCATGGACAGTTGTGGGCTATTCCTTCATTATTTCTACATCAGTTAAGCAGGTCAAAGGTCTGGAGTTGATTCTAAGTGTGCCATTTGCATTTGGAAGCTGTTGCTGTGAACCCACAACATGCAGTCATTCCTAAGCATTTTATGTTATATTTTTGGTAAACCCCTTGAATTAAAGCTTAAAGTCTACACTTTAATTTCATCATAATTGTTTCATTTTAATTCTATTTTGGTGGCGTACAGAGCCACATTATGAAAATTGTATCCAAATATATATATATGGACCTGACTGTAAATCTTAAATAATTTTTTTTTTTTAGGTTTCATAACAGTAAATGTGTGCCATATTCCAGTACTTCTGAAATCATACAACACATGTGTTCATGGACTGAAAAAGCTGCATAAAAATGCTTAAATCGTTTTGGGTGAATAAATGACGGCAGTTTATTTTCCATGAATTATTCCCATCATCCAAAGTGCTTACAGGATCTGAAACAACCTCGTAGTTTCTGTTTGTCTTCACATCATCTCTAACAAATTTTCTTATTTTAAATAAAAAATAAAATATAAGTTTTTCCTGAATGCGGAAAAAGGTCTATAAAACTAAAAATATATACATATAAATAAAAATATTAAACTGAATAAAAATAAACAATAAAAATAAAATAACTGACAAAAATAAAAATATCAAATAAAAATAAACACAAAAAATTTTATAAAAATAACAAAAAAAATAAGAAAATAATATAAAAATAGCAAAATTTTAATTAAAATAATACAAAATAAATACAAAATCTAATGAATTTAAAAATTTTTTTATATATATATATATATATATATATATATATATATATATATATATATATATATATACAGAGGTTTCTGGATTTTTTTTTCTCATTTTGTCTCTCATAGTTGAGGTATACCTATGATGAAAATTACAGGCCTCTCTCATCTTTTTAAGTGGGAGAACTTGCACAATTGGTGGCTGACTAAATACTTTTTTGCCCCACTGTATATATATATATATAGTCATGGTCAGAATTTTTGGCACCCTTGGCAGTGGTTGGATCTTGCATCAGGAGAAAGAAAAAAATCTACAAAAAAATGGGTCACTGAGCAAAAATGGTACACTGGTTCTCCCAGTTCCCTGACCTGATCCCTATAGAAAATGAGTGTGGTGAACTGAAGAGAAGAAGCACCAACACTGAGCTGTAATTCTGAAGGATCTGGAGAGATGCTGGATGAAGGAATGGTCTCTGATCTCTTATCAGATGTTCTCCAAACTCATCAGGCATTACTGGAAAAAACTCAGGGCTGTTATCTTGGCAAAAAATACAGGATAAAAGGCTGCCAATAACTGTGACCAAAGTGTATTAGAGAAAAACATTTATTTCATAACAAGATTTCCCCTCTATTTTCAATTGTTTTACTTCAATGAAAGGTTAGATTTTTGTGAATTTTTGAATGAAAGATCAAATGGATAAACAATGCAGATTTATTTTCAATACTTTTGCCCATGACTGTATATACAGTGGTGTGAAAGTTTTTGCCCCCTTCCTGGTTTTTTAATTGTTTGCATATTTGTGACACTTAAAAGATTCAGATCATCAAACAAATTTAAATATTACACAAAGATAATGCAAGTAAATACAAAATGCAGTTTTTAAATGATGATTTCATTTATTAAGGGAAAAAAGCTGTCCAAACCTATGTGGCCCTACGTGAAAAATTAATTGCCCCCTCCTGTTAAATCATGAAAGAACTGCAATTAACCACATTATTTTAGAAAGCTGAGTTAAATTTCACTAGCCACACCCAGGCCTGATTACTGCCAGACCTGTTGAATCAAGAAATCACTTAAATAGAACCTGTCTGACAAAGTGAAGCATGCTTAAAGAGCAACACATCATGCAACGATCTAAAGAAATTCAAGAGCAGATCAGAATCAAAACAGTTGACATGTATCAGTCTGGAAAGGATTATAAAGCCATTTCTAAGGCTTTGGGACTCCAGCGAACCACAGTTAGAGCCATTATCCACAAATTGAGAAAAATTGGAACAATGGTGAACCTTCCCAGGAGTTGCCAGCCAACCAAAATGACTCCAAGAGCACAACGAGGACTCATTCAAGAGGTCATAAAAGAACCCAGAACAACACCTAAAGAACTTGCCATCTGCCCTGTACAGTGAAAACCAGGATTCATCTGTGAAGAGAACACCTCTTCAAAGTGCCAGACGCCATCAAATATGAGCGTTTGCCCACTCAAGTCGGTTACGACGACGAACTGCAGTCAGGTCGAGACCCCAATGAGGACAACGAGCATGCAGATGAGCTTCCCTGAGACGGTTTCTGACAGTTTGTGCAGAAATTCTTTGGTTATGCAAACCGATTGTTGCAGCAGCTGTCCGGGTGGCTGGTCTCAGACGATCTTGGAGGTGAAGATGCTGGATGTGGAGGTCCTGGGCTGGTGTGGTTACACGTGGTCTGTGGTTGTGAGGCCGGTTGGATGTACTGCCAAATTCTCTGAAACGCCTTTGGAGACGGCTTATGGTAGAGAAATGAACATTCAATTCACGGGCAACTGCTCTGGTGGACATTCCTGCAGTCAGCATGCCAATTGCACGCTCCCTCAAAATTTGCGACATCTGTGGCATTGTGCTGTGTGATAAAACTGCACATTTTAGAGTGGCCTTTTATTGTGGCCAGCCTATATATTTGAGAGAAATAGGCCTTTTGTGTACATAGAAAAAGTCTTAGATCTTTGAGTTCAGCCCATGAAAAATGGGGGCAAAAACAGATCACACTCTGTATTTCCAGGCACATTTTAATTTTTCTGTTTTAAAAAGTTGAGTAAACCTGCTCATAATGGATCCCTGAGTCAGAAGAGCATCACCTCCTCGAACACGACTCCGTTCGAGTGTTTGTCCAGTCCTCCGTCAGCCGCTTCCTCCTCCACTTCCTGCGGGTCTGAGTTGATCTGTGCGACTCCCAGCCTGTAGATCATCACCACCTCCCCCGGCTGACAGACGCTCAGCACCTCCGTGATCTGCTGGTTCACGATGTCTCTGCTGCTCAGGAAGTCCAGCAGGCGGTTATAGAGGTAGTAATATGCGGCGTTATCGAACACGAGAGCTTTCCTCCGAAGCGCCGTCACGCTGCTGTCGCCGATGCTGCTTTCACGCTGGGGTTGGTCACAGATCTCTGTGACGGCGCTGGTGTACTGCTCCAGCTCTTTGCAGAGCACCATGGCGTGGTGGGCGTCGTGGAGGGCGCTCGGTCCGTCGGGTCACATGATCCAGCGAGAGGCGGATTTGGTGAGCGGGTGCAGATGAGGGTTGGACTCAGTCGCTGTCAGATCCAAACTGTACGGCTGGTCCTGAAGCTCCGAGCACGAGACGTACTGAAAGAGGGGAGGAGACAGACGGGATCGACATGTTCAATGGCCAATCAGGCGTTTAAAATCTGTGTACTACAAGTTCCCTGCAAGGAAAATTTTTATTTGTACAGCCCTTTTCACAGTATTTGACATCTCAAAGTAGCTTTTCAGAAATAAACGGACTAAATTATGATATTTTAATATCCTTTTTGGAGCTGTCACTATTAATGTGCTGTACAGAAAGATATTCTTAAAAATGCATTTTTCTTTGTATATGTGTTGATGTTATATAATGTTAATGTCTGTGTTTGCAGGGTTAACTAAAACTACAAACAATTCATCACTTGAAATAAATTAAACTTTAAATTCAATTACATTTATTTAACCTTTAACTTGTTTCATATTATGTGATGTACTAAAATAACTAAAACTTATGAAAAATGAAAAAACCTACTTAAAATAAACCAAATTTAACTGAAAAGGGAAAATACAAAAAAACTAATATATAAAAATATATATTTTTTAAAATACTATAATAGTATCTTACTGATACAACATACAACATAAAGCTGTGTAGAGATTCTTAACATTATTTTCTTTTTTGATTAACAAAACGTATAAATGGAGATGATGAATATTATTGTCAATATAATTGAATAATATAACTATATATATTTTATAATTTATTAAAACAAATTATCTGACTTTAATTATTAATTAAAATTAATATATATATATGTATATATAATGTATATATGTTATTATAGTTTTTATTATAACTGCTGTTTATTTTTAAATTGAAATTTTCTTTTTAGTAATTTTGTTGTGTTCTTTTGTTTTTAAATATTTCCGTATAATTTTCATAATTTTTTATTTTAGTTTAGTTTTGGTTCTTTTAGTACATCAAAAGTTAAACTAAATGAAAATGAGAAATGTTATGTTGGCAACTAGCTGAAATATATATATATATATATATATATATATATATATATATATATATATATATATA